CAATAATGAAATTAATATTATGGTACTCTCCGAAGTACCATATAGTTTTACAATTAATCTTATGATAAATTTCTGTTAATTTAAACAACAAAAGTGAAATTGAATATTACGTAAGTTTATTGAAATGACTAACGTTTCACGTTATTACTATATTTCAAGAAAGTGATGTTCGATTGTTTATTATTATGTCTATGAGACTATGAAAACTTTTCCCATTTAAAGTATTCCTTGCTCGCGATGACTGAAAGAATAAGTAAAGCAAATGCAGTTACATTAACATTTTAAAATAGGTTACGTCGCAGCTAATGAAATCACAACTCACTAATAATTCATTATTTTGTAATTACAATTGAATATAATTGAATATTGCGTTCCTACAATTTTAATGTTCAGTCGTCGTGTTTATAACATTTCATATCGCAGAAGTAACTTGAAACTAATTATTTCTCTCATTTTTGAATTTAAAGAACGTACTACAAATACCTCATTTTCATTAATAGAACTCTAATTTCCATTTCAACTCGTGATAACAGAGACACTCACAATGAGAATAATGTTTCAGATGCGTATTGGCATTCACACTGGGATGGTACTAGCAGGGGTTGTTGGGAAAAAGATGCCAAGGTACTGTCTTTTCGGGCACAATGTTACCTTAGCTAATAAATTTGAATCTCTGAGCGAACCACTTCGCATCCACGTTAGTCCAACGACATATGTGTAAGTAAACTTTCACTTGTAACACCTGTGACAATTAGCAAAAGTGTGTTTGTTGGAAATTTCGTGTTACTCGCATTCTCGTTATTATTCGTTTGTCTGTGAATTTCAGGTTACTGAAATATCCCATATCAGGATTTGACCTGGAACCACGACCAAAAGAGTTTCTACCGAAGGAGTTTCCAGCTAACATAGAAGGAACGTCTTACTTCCTGAGTGGCTACAAACACAAGGACGTCGACGTGACCCTTCCGTTGGATCTACATATTCAGAGCGCGATCAGGGAATACAACCTCGTGTAGATATTCTAAATAATAAAGAACCATCCCAACGAATGTACGTCGTTTGTGAATGTCGCTGTACCAAAGCTGCTCTGTCCGTAACTAACAACACTTTCTCGGCAAACGTCTACTTCTGATGATATTTCACAAACTGGCACCGTGTCTAACGAACGCTGATTCTAACCAGCCTAAACGGTGAACTCCTGAGCCGATAATATTTATACGCAGAGTGTTAGGTTACAATTATTATACACTTATGACCATATGAGCAAATAAATCTGTATGATAAATCACCCGATTCATTGATTCCTCGAATCGTTTTATTAAAATCCTCGCTCCATCCAGAAATTATTAATTACGGTCCTTCCGTTTGCGATTGGAAATTAACGTTATGCAAATTGTCATCTGACACCGATCCTGAAATCTTTCGAACAGACTGGGGGAGACACTCGTTTTTTAATTAATTCCATCACTTTACGGCCCGAATAATAAATAGCCTGCGGTCGAATTTTACCAACGAAAATCGTATTTTCCAAGCGTGTATAACCGAGAGCGTGTATACTTATGATCCGTGATGCTTACCGCAAGTCGATACAGTGCAATTCTTTTTCCCTCTGTTTCCTTACTTATCCCCGTCCCTTTGAAGCAAGGCTGGTTGCTTTTATTTTTGATAAGCCTCGTCCCAGATTCGAATCTTACAACGCGGCTCTTTGTTTCATGAAAATAATAGAACAATTTGTATTCTTTACCGAAGCAGCCGGTTATCGTTACAGGCTGCGCGTTGTCCGGCCAGCTATTTCTTTTTTTTCTTTCTTTCTTTCTTTCTTTCCTCCGGCCTGAAATGAAACTCCATCGATGCACTGCCCTCCACGATGTTACTTATTTACCGTGGAACGTTACGCGTTTCGTTTCGTTTTTCTTCTTAGCCACCAGCTATGATTTCTATCGTTTAACACTGGCATTAATGTGCTCGGATGCCGTCTCATCTACAATTTACACGAATCCCATTGTGCAAGAGAAAGAAACATAAACGTGAATGAATAGCAATAGTATTTGTTCCGCGAAAATTTTTTGTTGAAATCATCCAGATTTTTTTCGTTATTTCGACAGATATGCGATTGACCGGGCAAATAATTTTTCTCCATCTCCGACGTTCTCTTCGTAAGATCCTTACATTTCCGTTCCGATTTCGCGTTTCCATGATTTTACGAATATACATATACATAAATCGAATTTATCTTTTGTTTCAAACAACAGTTGCAATCTATTGATAAATGAATTGTAAACAAAAGTATCGAACGTTCAAACGAACATGATGCAGTTAATTGTAATTAAGAATTACAAATAATTGTAAACATAAAATATACAATGAACCAATATCATTTAATACGTCGAAATTAATGTAACGCGAAAGATCCAAAGAGAACATTTTTCGAGCAAATTTTCTTAAATTTCCCGTTTGTCAGATTGTCTCATTCATGTGAATTTTCAACCCGATGCACGAAGAAGATTTTCGCAATTCCACCGTCATCGATTTCATTAAAAATCGATTGACAAATAACCGTAAGTAGGTCAGTCAACGTTCAACACGTGATAAGACACTATCAAACTTTAATAAATCGATACTCGAACGAAGTTCACTTTCAGCTCTGACTAAAATCTAAAGATAATCATCGCACGACCCGATACGGCAAAACCACCACTTAGCGGAGTGAAATTTTAGCCAGTGCCAAAACGAACTCCCGCGAGATTGAATTCATTTATCCAAACGCGAACTCCAATTCTGTTATTCGAACGAAAAATCATATTCAACTACGTATCAACCCGTCGTGAGACGGATTTTGCTGAAAGTTGCTGAAAGTCTCTTAAATTCGACGTTAACATTTTTGCTCTTTGATTTCATGACTTCTCTGTACCGAGACACTTGTCAACCGCACACGGAAGAAGATATTTCCTAAGTTACCGAACACTTCAACTTTCCGATGATGTGAGATTTCATATACCGTTATACCGGAACTTGCGAACTTGACTCTCGGCTGATCTGTCGTGTCGTTTGCACAAGCTGTATCGCGTCATATGGCAGAAAGCAAAATCAACAAACTTCTATGATATTATCCGATTGCATGAATTATTTGTTCCTTGACAAACAGGTCAAGACAAATGGAATTCCGTCGTACTGGTTTCTGATACCGCGCAAGTAGCCAATCACGCATTGGATCCGAGGAAGTTCGTATTGTTGCCGGCTCTCATGGTTGTACGAAGCGCCGTGCACATGTTACTTTGCCCGGGCGGTCACAAAAGAAATCGGAGGAATAGCGTAACTAAAAAGCCGGCAAGGAAAGACCTACAAAAGAACCGACAATATTCCCTGGTTGCACGGTCTCACACACACGTAGACACATACATAGAGCAAGTGAGCACTGTATGGTGTATCTAGCCGCGTGCCTCGCCTGTACAAACGTACCTTTACTATTTCTTATGCTGCCATTCATCGCAACGAGTCCCGCGGCCGTGCAAAGAGAAAGAAATTAAACATTGGGCCTTCCGGCTACGCCGTATAATCAAACGCCGCTGCTGAAACTAACGAAGCAGGCCGCGGAATGAGACAGACAGAGCCTGATATCAAAATACAAGAAACGAGTCGGATACAGATGGGGAGAGAGAGAGAGAGAACGCGCATAGGAGAATAATAACTTAGATGACGTGCAATGAAAACTACGCTACGTATACGGAGAAAGATAGGCCAGCGGCAAAGGGGTAGGGAAGAGAATATCTTGCGGAGATGAGCATCGTGAATCGTGAGTATCGTAACCATATGTACATGTACCTTTTCATCGACGTACGACTACGGTCGAGTGAAACTGCGCCTAATGAGAGAAAATAACGAAGGGACAGTGAACAGATGAGAAAGAACGGTCACATATTGATGAACATTTATAGAGGGAAAAAGTAGATGGAAATCGACCGTCGACCGTAAGAAATTATGGCGACCGCTGAAAGAAAAGTTACTTGGATTACGCTGATCGAGACGGCAATTTGGGTAATCGCTCCCCCCCCCCCCCCTCCAAGCTTTGTACGGTGATGCTCATTTAGAACATCCGGTCAAGATATTTCAGGAGATGTTCTGGCCAATTTATTGTTCATTACAAAGACAGAGAGTTAATTTGAAAAGCTTACGAAAAAGCACAATTCATGAATATTGAGAGAATATTTGACATACTATTGGAATAGTAAAGTCGATAATTTAAAGATAAAAGTAATTTAACATTCGAGGTCGTACGTTGTCAGTACTAGATCATACGAATTTGTTAAATAATTCTACGTAAATAGAAATCACTGTTTATAAATTTCGAGGCTACTGATCCCGAACAATTAAGTTCAACTAAGCGACAGTTTCTTTCTTCTATCAGTTGAATATAATAATTCGAATTCGGTAAATATATCCTGTATTGGAGTTAGTATCTCCGCTTTACACTCGAAATGTACATTATTCCATTTGAACGAGCGCATTGTTCCTACGGCAAGGAGCCTCCTCGCAATAGATTGCTCGTTGTACGCTAATGCACCGAAGTAATCGATTAGCAAGCACTTCTGTGCAATTCGAGAATCATCGGACTTGCATTTCAGACTATCAATTAGGCGACGCATCTCGGCACGCAGACGCCGTGTCTCAAAAATTCCCGGACTCGTTACAATTGGAAACGGGAGTAGCGTCGATCGCGAACGAAACTCGACGACATCTGTCGTAATATCTGTCGAATGAAACGCAATCATTCCTGTTGAAAGTATGCGTTAATATTCCGCGTTAACGAAAATAATACGAAATTCACTTTTGAGAAATAATTCAACGCTTTCTCTTTCGTTCGTCCCGCGCAAATTTAACTTCTTACGATAAAACGCGGATAATAAATAGAGGGAGGAATTAAAAGAAGTTAACACGAAGGGCGGGTTAGCTTGTGTTTTTACTTAGGCACGTAAATATTTTAATAAGATACTCACGTGGTTAGACGCCGCTGGTGGGATATTTCAACTATCCCAAGTTTAATATACATGGCATTATCTACATTCTCCGCTTAATTACATTCTCTTAATAGTTTGTAACAGCTCCAAGTAAACTGATACCGGGTATTCCTGAAATTAAGAAATAACTTTATTATTCGAGGGTCTCGAAATTTCGTACAATCATTTGTGTTATTCGTTGTTAATAATTTACGTTTATTCCCTTGTTATTCAAAAGTACGTCAAATAATCCGAGAAACAGATAAAAGGAGAGAACGCGAGACAAAGTTGTGCGTCACAGAGTTCTGTACTTATACAAGCACGATAATGAGTAGAAAAACTTGGTGGACACCGTATTTAATTGAAGTAGTGAAAGTTCAGCAACTGCCAGGAGAAAAATGCTTGTTAGATACTTCGTATATTTTTCATACTTTAAAACTAACTAATCGCGTTGCGAAATGTCACCAACTGAATTATACTGTAGTATGGCGTTATACCGTGAAAGTGGAACAATTTGAGAAACGTGAAATACTTAGGGAACTCTATTAATTTCCATTGAATTTTCGTTCGTGGTATTTAAAAATTGTGAAATTTCTTAAATATGACAGAATAAAGGTTGTCCTTTGACTATTATCGTATGAAATTAAATAATCGAACGAACTGGAATAAATAAGAAGAATACGATATCTCTTCAATAATAATTAATTGTAATGAAGAGATTAGTTAATAGTAATAATTCTCTCTTTCAATAATATTAATTATTCCGTCTCAATTACAACTGAGTTTTTATTAGCAAGTTTTAATAATGCACGTGGCTCTTCCCGGGGAGTATAAACATTTTTCACTCTTCACGTTTCAGTCTCCGGTCATCCCCTTTTCACGGAGAACAGGACAAGTATGAGACAGGCTTGAAAAATTGCCAAAGCACTGTCTACTGCAAAAGTTTCATTAAGAAACGCTTCGTAATTTATTTTCGCACCTGTGTCGTGTTCCTTCCCTTCTACTCAAACCTTGGTAAACAGAGAATCAAATAACATTGCGATAAAGATTTTTGAAAAAGAAAAAGAAAGGAAACAGATGATAACATTGCAATAAAAATTCCTATTTTTCATCTTTCATCTGTAGAAAAATGCATGAATTTTAATGAAATACAATAGAATCAAAAGGTCTTTGTTATCAATTAGAGCATCATAATAAACTGCTTTGGAACATATCATATGCAATGCGATTTCCGACTTGCACCTGTTTTCCCATATGCATTCTCACAATGCGAGCGCAACTACACGTCGGTAGATACGCGTATATTCTTTGTATCGTTTCATTCAACCGTCTCTCCGATTGATCCGCTTATTCGATGAAACTGCGCTAATCATCGGTTTTTGGAAACGAAACTGAACCGAATCAAATATTTAGAGAAGTATACGCTTGTACGCATCAAACTAATTTCTTCTATTTTTTTTTTTTTTTTTTTTTGCTTCCGATGCATAAAAAAATATGCAAATATGAACAAGTTGCGGTCGAACAAGAGATGATTTTTTACGCAAGAATAAATCAAAAGAATAGAATGAGAATTGTTCGTGCGAAACATGGCATCCTAGCGATTAATTTGAAACATTCACGTACGTATGTATTTATATAGCTAACGTACGATACAATTTATTGATCATTATATTTCTTATAATATAATATTTCTATATTATAATTTCTTTCTTATTTAGTTTTATAATTATATAGTTTTATAATTCTTTCTATTTTAGTTTTACAATTTAATTTTCTTATAATTGACTATAACCATGTAATAATTATATACATTAGACAATAAGCGCTTTGGATGGCGCTTTTGATTTATCTTTGAGCAAGAAATTATTTTTCTTTATTCTACTGTACAATATTTTGATTCTGAAGAACACCAGAAAGAGAAGAAGATGTGACCGAATTCTTAAACGCGTAACACTGAATTTTTCATTGTGCGCAATTCACCACGGAAAAATATTTCGCAAAAAATGTGTTTTCAGACGATCGGAATAGCGAAACGCTATCTCGTATTTCTTATAGATGCCCGAAATCATGGTTTATCTGGAGGGAACACGTTAAAAACTATTTCACGTGAGATATTATTAGAAGAGGTCGAGGGTCGATGCATAAAATACATGAACGAGGGGACCACGGTGAATGAAATGTAATTTATTCAATTGCTTCTAATAAATGGTGCACAACCGAACAGAACGCGCGGCTAAAAATTCGTCCGTCGTTGCCACGCCCTCTACATTCGACGATAACGGTCCAAAGAGACGTCCAGAATTTAATGTTGATCCAATCGTAACTCTGACGTACAAACGTTAACATTAACATGCACAGGGAGTGGGTGGGGGAACATTATAAACCGTTTCGAAACGAAATTTCCATTTCGGCAACCGATCTCGTTCGTTCGACAACGATTATTGTTTTTGATGGATTCGTTTACGGTTGGCGGCCTTATCGATTGACCTTTCACGAGTACTGAAAAACATCGAGTACAAAACGTTCGTCAACGAATGACAACGAATACAATCATTCAATTACAAAAAAATGGCGTTATGACCTACATCCGATTGATCCACGTTTAATATCGAATAGTGGTTGTTAGAGAAAGTACAGTCGAAAGAAATCATTGAAGTGTATGTTCGATCGGTAAAAATTTACAACTATCGGATTTATATAACACTGACCAAGCATGTTTGCGTCCGTACAACAGAAAAATATAGCGCGTCCATCACGTACAATTCAACTCGGTTACGAATCGCGCTCTCTAAATGCTTAAACGTCACACGTAAACGCGTCTATGTATTCACGTTAGAAAGAGATTATTTACCGTGTCTCACGTACCGTCGTGTAAATATCGTGTTTACGGGGAGGATCTGGCAATTTCCTCGTCGGAGTCAGGTAAGAGCAATAAACAAACTAATTTCGAAGTTCAATGGCTGCACATTGGAGCGACAGTTGGAATAGTTGGATTGACAGCCATACTATATTTTAAATATCGAGCCCTACAAACCTCTGGCGGAGATTTGAGATACTATTTCGAAAGACCTAAATTTAAACTCCGTAGATTACGCTCGAGGGTTAACCTCTTGCGCTGGAATGACGTGTCACGTCGAAAGTATTTGGCTCAAAATTGCAATATTTTCTCAGTTTTAAGTATATTGAAATATAACCGAGACAAGACAAATAATAAATTTATTACTTCTTAGTAATTTCTATCCAGTAATATACCGATGAATTTGAAAAGAGGACGAATTATTATATACGATTTGGTCACTCGTTATGGTCCGCGAACCAGTCACTAGACGCAAGAGGTTAATTAAATAGCTAAATTAGAAAGAATCTAAATCGAATCGAGAATTTCTTATCAGAGACGCAAATTTTAGCCTAAACGCGACAAGTAGAAAGAAAAATGACGATTTTAAATAAACGAACCTTTATGCGATCACGTCGCATACATCGCCGTGTCGGGGATCAGTGTTCTTGTTATGTTTACGAAAATCGAGATTGTTATTTCCGGATGGGATTTTCCGCATCGGCGAGCCAGGCGCAGAATTTGATTTAACATGTGCAGAAACCCGTACGAGAAACGTACGTACACTCGAGTTTCTAAGGAATCGGAGCACAGAAAGACCGGGCAAAGACGCGTGACGCGATAGGTGAGGTATCGGCCGCCAGGAGCGCAGCAATCGCGTACGCTAGCCTCAAGACTTTCTCGACACTCAGTCTGCCGGAGTCTGCAGCGCGCGAAAGTTGTATGTGCGACGCGTAGCGTGTTCGACACCGGGCCCCGTACACAGGATTTCGTCCCCGCGCGCTTCGTCAGTGCTGCGATCAACAGTTCTCCGTATTTCTGTGCGACGTAATGCGACGATCGAGACGCGTGGGTCAGTTGGCAATCGATATTATCGATTCTCGCGGCATCGAACGAGATCAGTCAGTTGATCGCAAGTGTCGCTGTCGTCGGGTTTGATTTTTCTCCCCCAACTTGTTACCACGTGATTTTTCTCCGTTAAATTTGAAATTTACCGGAGCGACCGAGTATATTTCTCGGGTGAGCGGCGTCGTCGTCAAAGTGAGTGTTCCGACAAATTCTTCTCGGTGTGTGATCAATCAATTCGCGAGTTCGATGATATACCCGCGATGCGCGCGGTATACGCGGTGAAAACGGAGGGAAAAGAAAGAATTTAAGGCGCGAGTGAGACGCGTTGATACGTCTACTAGGTATCATTTCGTTTCGTGGATCGACCGCTCTGTCTCTGTGTGTGTCGCAGCTGCGGCGTCTCTCGCAACCGGCCAAAAGAAACAGAGAAGACGAAGGAGCAAGGTTGCCGGTGGCGGCTCCGATTGACGGATAGGATCGTTTCAGCTGCAACGAGAGAACGTCCACCTTGTATGGCAGTAAGTGTCTCCATATTCTTTTTTCTTCTCTCTCTCTCTCTCTCTCTCCCTTTCGCCGTTCCTTCGACCGGGCTCGTCGATTCATTCTCTTTCTTCGCGCGCGTCCCTTCCGTGCGACCGTCTGGCTGTGACCTTCTTGGGATGCACGCGAATAAGAGTAGTCGATCTCTTACCTTGCTCTACCTCCTCTCTCCGTGGCACACGAGGCAGGCAGAACAGTCGAACATGCTCTTTTCTTCGAGTAACCTGGACTCGCTCGGAATGGAATCTTGCCTCGGGAACACGAGCAACTTGAACGTTCATCTCTCTTCTCGTTGCTTGAACTTCGGTGGGAAATAATCCACCTCGTACCGCGATCGTTCCATTCGCAATACGTTCTCTGACTCGATGATTTGAAACGTCTACGGTGTAAAGTTGTAGTGATTCTTTTTCCCTAAACGAATCGCCGTTGTCGTTTGGTCGAAAGTTGAGAGCGTCGATCTGCAGTTGGCAGGTATTCGGGAGCGGGTCGACCAGCTAGAAAACGGAGCCGATCCTACACGGTCGTTCCCTAACCGCTACGAAATGGCTCGATTGTGTTCGGTTCTTTCAAACTGACACGCTCTCGAGCATTGCCTTTCAAACGTGTTCCAACGCGTATCGTAGGTTACGCGTCGGGATAAATCACCGTTTTCCTTTTTCTCGTCGATTCTTCGAGCTTTCGGTTTTCACGTTGTAAACATACTTACGTCGTAGATTATTTAAGCCGAAGTACTCTAGGTTATGAGCACGTATATACGCGAATTTCATTGATCGTTGTAAATATAGGGCATCGATGTATGTACTTGGAAGAAAAATAGACGCCTCGTCTGTTTTATAATTCAAGCGTACGTATAACATCTAATTGCGAGTGATATCTGTTGCTCTGGGAATGATCATGGTAAATTACATGTTATCTGTGAGAAACGTTTACGTTTAAAGTGTACAATACTCATAGTACTTGTACAACATATCTTAATGATACCTTTTATCGTAAATTCTTTAGTTTAGATTAAGTTTAGACTGCTTAAATAGAGATTATTTACATGTATGAATAATCCTTCTTCTACGTGAAATTTGCAATTCAACAATTCAATGGACCGTAGAAAGTTCCAGAATTTTTCAGAAATTTATAAAATTCCTTCTTCAGGATTCCAGGTTAGGATTTAGTTACCGTGCTATTTCTTAGTACTCATAGTACTTGTACAACATATCTTAATGATATTTTTTTATCGTAATTCTTTAGTTTAGATTAAGTTTAGACTCCTTAAATAGAGATTATTTACATGTATGAATAATCCTTCTTCTACGTGAAATTTGCAATTCAACAATTCAATGGACCGTTTGTAGAAATTTTCAAAATTTTTCAGAAATTCATAAAATTTCTTCTTCAGGATTCCAGGTTAGGATTTAGTTACCGTGCTATTTCTTATATAGTTCAGGGTACGTTTTAATTTTCTTCAGAGCTACTACGTGTAGCTACCTTAATGAAATTAATGATTCTTTGAAGAGATACCGGAAATGTTTCAGTGATTAAATTTCACTCACTGCCTCGGAGATAATGTACCCTTTCTACTTAAGTGCATTTAAACTTTTAGTTTGAAAAAGCTCTCGCTTTGAGTATTATGCATATTAAAAAGCTTCTTCTCTGATTATTATTATGTCACCATATTGTTATTTAACTTGTTCATACTCTTGGAAGATGTACTCCGTTCAAAGATGTACTCTATTCTACTTAGATTCAAACGAATTGTAAAACGATCGTTATTTCGATGTATATCCTGAAATTTTTCCGACAATGGTAAGTCTTCGTTCGTTTAAATAAAAATTCAGAGACGCTGACATTATAAAACTTGTAAAAAAAAAAAAAAAGGAAAAGAAATAAAAACGGAGTTGACTGTCGTTGATGCGACATTCGCATACTTTTGAAAGAGAATGAATCAGACGTGGGATCACTCGACCGTAACATTCTTGGCATTCTCCGGTGCCACTAGACGCCGCTAACCGGCTGCGCGAATTCATTCAGTTTCAAGATACCCCGAAATCGAAGACGCGTCACCCAACGTGTAACGCGTGAAAATTCCTCGCGACGTCAATGTTTTCGGTGGCTGTCTGAACCGCGACACGTGAATCCGCGTAAGATAGAAAATCCCGTTTATTCGAGTGAGAAGGTTACACGCTCGGTTACACGGGAACGTAGCCGGTGAATGGTGACATCGGGGAAGAACCCCCAGGTGACACGATACGCGTACTTCTGTGCACGCATTTCGGGCGACTTTCACACACAACAGACGGCGAGTGAAAAAGAGTGACGAACGTAAACGGATAAAATGAAACACAAAAATGAAAAGGAAAAACATGTTGCGTTTCTGTTTCCAATAGTTAAACGATCGGGAACGGAAAGAGGCGAGCTAATGGAAAAGGGAATGGAATGAAAAAATTAGGAAAAAAGTTACGACTCTTAATAACTCGATTGGCTCGTAAATTATAATACTGTTGATACTGCTGACGCAGTTGTCAACGAAAAGAAGAAAAAAGAAAAAGGAAGAGAAAACGAGAAAAGGAAAGAGCGTAAAAACGAAAAACAGATCGGGGAAAACCAGGGTGCGTAACGTAGCAGGGTTGCTGAGTTTCCGAGCGTTGCTGCTAGCCACGCACGTAAATCTGCCGTAGAGTCGTTAGTCATGCTTTATTTCGCTTTAGTTTTCCGTACACGCTGAAATAGCATCAACTTTCCAGGAAGGGGCTGACTCACGCGCTTTTGAAATCCATTCAGAAAGTGACGAATGCCCATGCACGCCACGCACTACCGCCACGACTGGCCGCGCGCCACATGTGTACAGGCTAATGGCTCGTCTTTCGTTTTATTGCCGCATACACTGACAATGAAACGTTCCGTGGATTTCGTTTTACCCGCCCACGGTTATCTCCGCCATGACACGAAAAAATTGAATACCGATGGAAGGAGCCCTCGATTCCGATATCTCCGTTACTCCGATAAGCCAGACTGCTGGCATGTAGCTGGTACCTGCGCTCTCATGCATCTGAATGTCTGTTACTTCGCGCATTAGGCAATGGGAGGATTTCTAGTTTTCGTGTGTTTTCTCGTTTCGCAATTCACATTCATTGGCGATTGGAAGTGAAATTGAGAAATCACTTTCCGAATCGTTTGCAGTATTTCTTGAGTGTCTTTTTTTTTTAAGAGTATTATTCACGTTGTTAGAGAGGATGAATTCTGAAAGTTTTAAACTAGACGAAGATTTTGTTTAAGGTTGAGGCACTAGATGACCTAATTTAAGGTCACGATTCGAATTTTCTTACTTTTAATTAAACTGTCGAATGTATATATTACCTTTTCGCGTACGAGTATTCCGTAACGTAGTTTAATGTGCCAGTAACAAAATATTATGTCAGTGGGCGCACAGCTGCTTCGTTTGATACTTTTAATTTTCTCGCGTTTTAATGAAATTTCTAATGCGGACGACGTTAAACGGGAAGTTAAACGCAAAGATAAATAATTCGGGCAAACGATACTTTAAAGCGTGGTTACAACTTTCGCGCGGCGGTGTTCGCCTCGTTTTTGCGTTTTATTGTACATCACTGATTACGTTCCATGTATGCACAATGCTGCATGAGTTCCAGGCTCAATTGTTGTTCAGCGAAAATTAGTTTAACTTTAGAGCCCGCGTACGGGGGCTACGTTTTGTTTCTAGCAAAATTGAATGAAAAAGTCATTCTCGCGATTGTATCGTAGCCTTGCAATTTGCAACAATTCGCTACGCTTTAGAAATCGCGTCGGTAATAACGCATAAACGTGGATTGTTAGAGAGAAAAAAAAAATCCGCGACATTTAGATATTTCGCGTGGTTGCGAAGAAAATGTGTCGAATGATTAAAATGAGACAAACGAGTCGTGAAATTATTTAATCGAAATTGTGATTGTCGCCTGTTTCACAGGTACGTAACAATTTGCAACGTTATATAAAATAATATGTAATATATACGATCTGTCTAATGGAGTCCTGAATGAATCAGTGGCAGAGACTTAAGTGAACGACAATGATATTGAACAGGACGGAATTATAAAACTGGTGATAATTATGGCGTTCAGTGCACTCTCTCTCTCTGTGCACTTGGAGGCACTTATGCTTATTAAGTCCATAGTCTCCCTGTGCATCATGCGATAAGGGGTAATGAGATATGGAGAGAACAGAGAATAGCTTCTTGAATAGAATGGTCCGAGCATATAATGCTGGTTCCGTTCGGCTCTCGGAAATTAATTATAATGTCCAACGAGCAATCTGTGGCTGTTTGGCCCGAAATTTAAATTAATTTT